CTTTTTTAGGAAGCTGACTTACTGTCGTATGTAGGCTAGGTTTGTGGATGTGGAGGAGTTCTATTTTAAGTTCTGAACATCGTACGCAAGGCCGGTTGTACTTAGAAGATTCCTCACGTAGTTGGAGGGTTTCCGCGGGTGGCAGAAGAGACACAACATGGTTACTTCTAAACCTTTTCATAATATGACCGGCTTCTATTTGATTTTTAAAAATCCCTGCCTTGTTTTTCTAGTTTCACACAGGGCCCATACAATTATGGTTTTATGTCGCTAAATCTTATTTGATGATGGGTTAGACTAGTTTGTATTGTTTCATCCTCTCGTTGTAGAATCCCAAGCCAACAACAGTATGCCCTTGTTTGAGTTAACCTAATCTTAAGGTTATATGTGATGACCAGCGACCCTTAACTCAGTGACTCGAGAAGAACTTGTGCTTTGTTTCACTTCATACCAATATAGCTTCTAGGTAATCTGAACTCGGAGCTAATGTTGAAGTTGTTTGACACATACGATCATTCTTAAACGCACAAAATCCCCTCTTTGAAGAAAGTAGCGAACATTTTAGAATAAGCAAAAAGGTTTTATGTGTCAACTAGCCTTAATCCGAAAGGGTTTTTTGACTGTTCTGAAATTTTCTACTGTACATTGACTGCATTAAGAGCTACCCAACAACCAATAAGAGCTAAGTGCTCAATGCACTCAGTAAGACCACATACACCTAAACGTTTGGACTGTGGTAGATCAAAATATATGAAAAGTCGTGTCCCTTACGTTTCAAACAGCAAATAACCAGTTTTCACATTCCATCTTCATAGGATATATTACCGATAACGGTACGAGGGCTACTATTCCCAGTGAATGAACCTAATCCTTTTCACCTAGTTCCAGTCGATTATTAATCAAGCCATAGGCGTTTGTGTAGCAGATCCGACGGCAATGTTAAGTGGCTTCGTGCACAATACAAATCGGCGTTGCCATCACTCTCTGCCCCTATGTCTGCCTAACTAAAGTTCATAATCCTGAGATCCTTTTCACGGGCACTTAATATTGCTCCCGAGTCCATTTCTCTTTCTTGATTCCTAGTCTCTCAATGTACGCCCGTTTCAGTGTTGAATCTTTTTCAATTTAAGATTCAGATATGAACTGTTTTCTCACAACAGGTCAACAAGAGGCATTTTTCAACACCAGAACTTATTCAACGTAGATATAGCTTAAAGGTTGAATAGCCACTACACCAAGCTATGCACCAGTTCTCGTATTATTATGGTCTAAGAACAAGCGACAGCATGTGACTTCATGACTCAGGTCAATCTGGATCTTTTGTGGGATTCAACTTCAAAACGTGCTATTTAAGCTGGAGTCATCACATCTCATGGCATAACAATTTCTGTCAACATGGTCCTTGCAAAAGAATTTAGACTGTATTCATTTGGGTCTGGGTAGTACGTTATTTTTTCACCTGCAACTGTCATTGAATATAATAACTATTTTCAAAGCACTCTCATGGGGATTGAAACTTATGTCTCTGTTAACCGTTTTCATTATGTTGGGGAAATCACCCAGCAACAATATTTGAAAGATTCATATCTAACATCGAGCTGGCTGCAATCTGTAAGTTATTCAGGGTCATCAAAAATACAGTGAGCTCAGCTGAAACCGAATCCTAACAAATCTACTCGCCACTTTTCTCATGAGGTATTCTACGTGCAAATTAGCTCTGCAATTACTACAGCTGTCCATATAACGCCTATGGTCTGAATAACTAAAGCCGATTGAATAAACTATCTGAGATCCTAAGGTTTTCGGATATGTAAACAGATATGAATGGGTTTGTCACTTTGATAAGCACATAACTAATGACAGGATCAACCAGTTTATAAATATCTCTTGCAAGAGAATTTTAAATGAAACTCCCAGTAATTCGGACGCTTGGGGCTTCTACGTCACGGTAGGAACAGCACACCTTATTTCTGTAACGCAGTCATGCAGAAATCAAAGGCTCTGGTAAACCATTCGAATCATATTACTTTAAGTACCATTTCTGATCAATGATCTCGTTGATCAATTGTGCTTAGTATAAACAGGCCACTTTTGAGTTACATCACTTAAACGACTTTCAAATCCATAATTATTAACAATACAGATACGCATTATGGTGTCTTCATGGCAATGAATTCTGCTATATTCCTCACATTAAATAAGACAGAACAATAAAATCTGACTACCACCGCGCCTGCTCACAACACTGACAAGCTTTAAAGAGTGAACCCTTAAGGTACGAAGAATGAGCATGCACAAAACACTTCATTCTGACCAGTGAAGCGTTCGGACCGTAGTTATGTCCTCCAACTGTAGTAAATTCTTCATTAGTGACAAACTTATAGAAACACTAGATACACTCGATATCCCAGTAAATCCACACCAGACACTGTAGTGCCGGATGGTATCCGCAATCTGATATTGGCACACGATGTGATACACGTAAGCCTCACAGTTCATAGAACACAAGATTGGACGAGAAAGCATATTTGGCTATTGAACATAATACACAAATACTCACTGATATAAATATCTCTTTATCTCATAGAAAATTATTACATTTCCTGGCCAATAATCTGCACTTGTCCTTCAAGTCACTTCTGATGGCCATCGACACTGCTACCATAAGCTCTTAAACCAACTGAAATCCAGGGCCAAGGGACGAGAATTACAAACAAGGTACTTTATATCAAAAGACATCGGCCTCCTGGACGAAACACAACCCCTACTTGAATGTGTTAAAAGTCAGTATTAAGATAATCGGCAAGTAGAGAAATAAAAAGAGCTTACTGAAACATTTAAATCCCAAGGTCTCTGACGTCTGCCAGAAAAGCGCTCAGAAAAAAGTCTACATAACACAATCCATTTCGTACAGCATGGAGAAATGTTAAACGATTATCAATAATTCACCTTTAAACCATTGACTGAATGGTTTTTTAACGTGAAAAATATATCTCATGTCCTGGTAAATGGTGTCAACCACAACAGCAAGAATATTCCAAGGACAATCAACTTTGGCTTCGTTATTATTTACTTCGCGTTCAGACCTTTAGGTGTGAAAAAGTTTCTTATCCACGTTTCTCCAGTACGTAACCAAAAGTAAGTGATGATCACATTGGATTTCGATATCAAAAAAGCTGATAAAGTATTAGTCAAAGAACTTCCTTTATTCTGAATCACTCTGTCAGTATCAGTTAAATCCCTTCTGACGAATAGTTGCCAAATGATTAAGATCAATTATGCAGTGCTTAAACCTTGACTAATAACTAATGGTGTTGAGCAAAGTAATGTGATGTGATCATTGTCTCCTACAATCAATACCAACATTTCTAGGTGCTTCAACACTCAGAAACGCAGCTGGCTATGTATTGGAGACACTTCTTTCAAGATAATACTCATAGTTGCAAGAACGTATTTACCGAACTCATATCAGTGACTGACTTTAAGGTGCATAACTCGCACAGACAAAACTTCCCAAAATATATCTTTACTAAAGCACCCGAAATACCGAAATTGATAGGCTTTATTCTCAACTTCTTTCAGAATTAATCGAGGATTATTCTTTACAAAATAAATGTAGGCCGGATACCGCTTCTTATAATTTTCCAACTCACGCCTATCTGATGTAGTCAAAGAGAAAGGTATACAATGGCATTTTACCTGTAATTTACTACTGAATATCCCTCCCGACGTTGCACATAGGATTTGAACTCTGTGGGAAAGAAAGCTTAGAATTAAATTTACGTTAGACTTCAAGCTTCTAAATAAAAGTATGATCCGAATTAACAAAACGGTGAAAAAAGTACGAATTGCCACATGGTACGTTAAGTGTAATGAAGATGGCATAAGTATTCAGTGTTTGACAACGCTTTTACCAGTAAAACTTTCTAATATAACTCGTACCCATCAAGAGAAATCAAAAGACAGAATCGAGGAAATCAGAAATTGTATTTGACGGTTGTCAATATATCGGAATCATCTGATTTAATCTGGCTAGCGATTGCAGTAGCAGTTGAGCACGGCGTTCCCGAATGTGATCTGGTGCGGATGCATGACCGAGCGCCTTCAGCTAGGTGAGTCCACTAAAACTAATCTGGTCAGCATTCAATCTCGAAAACTTACAGAGCTATTTGTTTTGGGGGTTTATTTACCTCTACAGTAACAAAGTTATTTGTAAATTTTCAGTATAGTCTTCGACACTTTTAATTACAACTTCAAGAACAGCGAACCACCCCAATAACTTTAGGCATTGTATTTCATACAAGTTACTTTATGTTCACATTTTGTTTGTTTACTCGGAAAATAAACCAATGAAAAATGGACAATACCTATCTGGAAATAAAATAAAACCTACAGACCAGATATACCTAGCAATGTACTGGAGTAAAACCTAATGAAGTCACTAAAAGTATTACCAAGGGACTAATATTTCGTTAAGAACCCTGACATTTTGCTAGAAATCATAACTACAATTTTTTAAGGATTCTATTTTCCACATGAAATCCGCTTTTGTCTGTGTGATGTTCGCCGCTTTTCTTTGGTCCGTTAGCCCTGTGAGTGTTTGAAGGTACTGCTTATGTTGCTACTGATATCGTTTACGATTAACATTATTTGTTGTAATCGATATCGCCAAATAAAATAACACAAACACCTGACAGCCAACATAGAAAGAAGGCAAATTGCAGAAAATCGTAACCTTTAGAGTAGAACAGCCAGTATAAATTGGCAAACCAGCATAATCGTAGCAGCAAAACATGACTTTCAGGCATACAGAAATTAAGCAGTGTTGGAAATTAACAGACATTCTTTTAACCACCAGCTCAGTCAAAAGACTTAACTGTTGATACACAGAGTTGCTCATGTCCTGTAATCTTTCTTCAACATTAAGGAGGGTTGACATGATGAACAACTGCTCAATATAAGCCCTTCATTGAGATATTGAATACTATTAAATGTTCCGTAGTTTCACTGGCGGTTATTCGGTTGGGCGTCTTTTGTAACGAGGACAACGATATTATGATGACTTTAGTGCACAGAGTACCTTCGAGCTAGACACGAGTCGCTACATATCAAGTATCGTTCGACAAGATTTTTAACTATCAGTATGAGCCGACCTCTATTATAAAAGCACAATGAATTCTAACAAGGAATTTCCGAATAACTTCGGAGCTTATATCTCTAAAGTTAAGAGGGATATTTTACAAACCATTAATAAAAAGAATTCTGTGGGTAGTGTCACTAGGATCGATTGTCGTAATTTGAAGTCTCAACTATTCGATGTGTCGGAAAATGTGGCTTGTGATTATAAACACATGAGCTCATACACTTATGACAATCTAGACAGTGAAATCTCCGCCGGAAAAAACAACAACTACACACAGTCGGTTATATATTTGGATGGTTTGTCGGGGACGTTAAGTTGTGAAGAACGTAAGTTCAGTTTCATGCATCATTTTGCCCCGAGCTCCCAATTTAGGGGAAAATTTGACCCATTTTGGTGAAATTTCGGGGAAGTCGCTATAGTAAACTTTGGGAAATTTTTTAGGGAAATAGCACCAAAACCCAAAAATTTCCTCTTAACCTTGGTGAAGGTTATTTGACTTAGTTAGCTTCCCCATAATTTCCACAAACTTGGGTGATTGGGTTGTACTGATAAGTTGTGTGAGATTGTGTCAAATCAGTAGATTCCGTAAATCTCGAAGTGAGTCTTACTTTCAACAGTCCTTTTTTGCCTTATAGATGCACATGTACTTAAAACGGACATGTTTATGATGCTGTTCTACTACACTTCTTGGTTTAAACCAAGATTATTAGGTTAACTCACGAACGGTCAAATCTTCAAAGTTTGAGGAAGTTCTGGAGAAACCCACAAAGTCAAATGATTCTCACCAAGGTTGAAGGGAAAATTTGGGGTTTCGGTGCTGTTTCTTCAAAATTTCCCCAAAGCTTACTGCAGCATCTTCCCCAAAATTGGGAGCTCAGGGGGCTATGTGGCGTTCAAACATGTTATTATTCTTACATAAGTGTTATTGCGTTTGCTTTCCGCGTGCTCTTTAGTGAGGTTGCACGTACCCACCTCTAAAAAATAGCTATTAGTAAAAAACCGTATTTCCCAGAATGCCTCTGTTGTCTTGAACATTTCATATTTTTCTTACAGGAACTGAAGAAGACTTGATCATATCTTTTATGCCATTATATAAAATTCACCAGTTGAAATGTGGTTCTCGGACTGAGTTTAAAGTAGTTCCTTGTTGATTATTTCTAAGACCTTAAACTTCATTGATTACCGTCTTGAGTTTTTAGGACTATTGGACGTATGCTAAGATACTTTTTCAATATCTGAAGTTATGGCATGACTCTGATAGTAGTTTTTATACACACTTAGTCTGGACTAAATCTTATACATAAAATAAGATCTTATGAAGTGCTTATCATACACTAGTCGGACGCCATCGTTAGTTTGTTTGTGTGACCCGACCGTTGTTGCTACCTTGACGTGGTGGTCGGGCTTGCCTATCGTGATGAAGCAACCGAGCTATACTGGCTGGAACAACCGTTCCTCAAGGTCCTACCATGTCAGACAGGTCGGTTGAAGAGCGGTAAGACTAAAAGCAACAAACCCAAGGTCCGAAGACGAAGTCGTACTGCTGACTGTACAGAGGTGTGACAGCAGTAAGGTGTTTCCTTCAGACAACCAGCATGACAGCGATGCTGCCTTCCCACAGGGAGGGGTGGGGTTAGAAAAGGTCGACCCTAAAAATGCACACCTCGCCTTATCCCACGGATATCCGTCTCCGGCGGTAAGGTCTCAATAAGTACGGAGCTAACACAAAAATTACCCATAACAAGGTCGTGTGTTACCGACCTCAAGCAGTTGTCCCTTGGGCACTGCGGTCACGCTCTCAGGTCACTAAGACCACCTTTAATCCAAATCCCTTTTCAGGTACCTCCAGAAGAACCCTTCCACGGTGTGGGAAACCGGGAAGTGAAAACCACCCTCATACCTCTAACAGCACTCAACCTCGTTTGTGTGAGACTTTCATATCATTCTGGTTTAAAGTATTGGTTTTTTTGTTAGGTTTTCAATGCAAAGAAATATATGTTTCATACATTCTTTAGAACCCGGTTTACATATGCTTTACATTGAACTATAGATTTATTTAGGGGTAAACCATGAAACGAAAGTGTAAAAATCTTAATAACAGTTTATTATTTGAGCTCTTCGGTTATGTTTTCATATATTTACATTACTTCAAAACTGTGTGTTTATTCGATATGAGCTTTTCGCAAAGTTTTATTTTTCAACATCCTTCATACTCATTCATCTAAATATAGGGCCCGTTTTAATATATAATAGCCCAAGATTGAAATAAATAGCTTCAATATTTCATTTTAGCGCTTATTGTCCGACTCCTCTGTGATATAATCTGTAGTGCTGCAGACGAAGTCTAGATATTGCTTACATCGTGTTTGTTCTGTCAGCTTAACGGTATGTCAAAAGTCAGATACAAGTTGTGTTTAGGATAGGTATATTTTTGACAGGCTAATATTGAACACCAGACAAGGAAACAAAAGATGTGGCGATCCTATACAGTATCTGAATTTGGTAATACACTGACTAAAAGACTAATAAGGTGACTCAGTTCTTATAAGATACGTAAGAAATACAGGACGTAGATAGGCATACCATCATACAAACGTATAAAGCATGTTAACGGTGAATGACAGGGCCAAATATGTGGACAAAATAAATGGAAAGATTGTGATAATTCATTTATCCGAAGGTAAAAGTAAATCACCATGTGAAAAAGTGTCAATTACTAAATTTGCATGATATTAAACGAGACAAGGATTTTGGCATCAAGCAACCTTTACCTTATTGTAGAAAATGCTTCTGTTCTGAACGAATCGCCTAAAATTGACCATTATTTGAAGTTAAAGTTCAATAGAGTTCAAATTTTTAGATCAGTCAGCCGGAAAGTACAATCTTGCATAAATGGGCATTGACTCAAGTTGTTAAACCATACTAGTACAGTGAGATGAAATTGTGAAGACAAGTCCCTGATTAGTAGAACCAATAACAGCGTCAGTGGCAGGAGGAAAGATTAGAAACAGGAAATGTAATACAAGAGGAAATAATTTATTCTCAAAAGTAAAAGAAATATTATAAAGTGATTTTGAAACTTTGGATCTAAGGGTTGATATAGAATGAATGCAACTTGGATGATGTTATGGTTGTATGCAGAACTTACATCATATACATTCTATTTGAGCACAGAAATGTTGTTTATATTATTCCCTTTTTTCTAGGTTACTGCTTTACGTTAGTGATACGTTCTCGAATGCGCATTTACTTTGGTTCCTGGCTACGTTTAGCTACAGATTATAAATCTGCACGTATTTTGCGTGACCATAATCTTCTCAAATCATCTTTACTCTTCTGGAAATACGGTATCCTTTTTACCATGAAAAGTAATTACCATCGAAATAGTAATTCGTCCTCCTAAATATGATTTTCAGAAAATTGATATTGAGGTACAAATTTGTTCCATTTACTAAAATTTAAACAATTAAGCTATTTGCATAAGCTTCATTTATTACAAAACCTATCCTGACCAATTACAGTATGTTGTGTGGCGATTGAAACGTACATTACTTTTTAATGGATTGTTTGATTGATGAAGTACTTTATATTTAACTCATACATGATGTCATCTTGGAGTTTATATTCTATTCACACTTTTAAAGTCAATGAAACCACCTGCGATAACTTTTAGTCCGTGATACATTTTTACCTGAAGGGTGTATGTTGTCATGACGCTGACGTCAATGGTTCATATGAGCTAAGCTGTCTTAACAGAATTAACTTGGTAAATCATTTAGAATTCGACTTTCGAATCTCGCTAAAATTTGCAAACAAAAAGGCTACAGATCATCATAACATGAATATAAAGGTAATTGTGTAAGTTCATTTTTGTCTTCCGAATAAGACGTGCGGACGTTTACTCAATATTGACGTTTTATCTTTCAGTCACGCTCACTTTTTATTTGGGTATCTTACGTACAAAAAAGACGGAGAAGAAACAAGTCAAAAAGTATTGCAAATGCTAATTATCGTCTTCAGGTGAGTAAGCAACCTTATTTTCGGTACTGTGAAAAAACTAGCAAAAAGTTAAGCTTGTCGAATCGTATGGGTATTACTTAGCGTCCAAGCATCAATTACCGGAATAGATATAATAATATCGTGGATTTTATTCCAGTCATTTACATAACTGAGTAGTTGGATCTACATTCATGACGATGACCATTACTTTTTTGGAGACAGTTACAAACGCACTTTGTCATATTGATTGTATGACATTTGTCTTCTAGGACATGAATTTATGTTCTATCTAGTTCTTAGAATAATCAGTTTGCTTTTTGACTGAATGTCTTTTCATACGATTACTAAATAATTTATAATTCCACTTTTAATAAATCAAGGCATTGCAAAGCCACATGACATGTTGGAAAATGAAATATTTTCTAACTGGGAAATCTGCTGTTGAAAAATCCCTTTTTGCTGTAGCAAGAGCTCACGATCGTCGGCATATTTTGCGTAAAGCTTTATTTGTTTGGATGTTAAAACATCAGTTTTGGAAACAAAAAAAAATATTACGTAGAACCGCACTAAAGTTTCTTCACAATAAATTGAACAAAGCTATCATGGTGTCAGTAATTCAAGAATGGTATCACCAAATTTTAGATATCCAAATTTCAAATAAACATAATAGGTAAGCTCAGTTACAAAGTATTTTATCAATGTTATTTATATGGAAATGTGTTGCTCTATGGTACATTTCAATCTCTACAATATCAAACTTATTCATAACAATAATTCATCGTGACAGTACTTCTCGCGTGTTTATTTCCTTGTTAGTTGAGTTTAAAATTTAGTTTTTTATTGTTCATTTTTATGGCTCAGATGAAATAAGGGAATATCTGCAAAAGTTTAAGTGATTTAATAATACCAATTTGTGCACAGATTAGTCATCAAATGCTGGTCAGTAATATTTTCAAATCATAACTACTATTTATGGTTTATCTACCATGAGTTAATCTAGTCGCCTGTCTACTGTTTTAATAAATACTTTAAGAAGTAGTCAAAGCTTCAGAAATCTTCACTCTTTTTAACATCGATTTACTTCTTAATTATACTGTAAATGCTCTGATAGTATATTTATTAAAAGATGTTATATAACTCATAAAAGTATTCTAAACCCAATATCATTAAGGACGAATAAAGTATGTACGTATGTATGTAGAAAATCTTTATTGTTTAACTTCAAGTGTACGTCCACAATCCCACACTCGGGACTCGAATCCAAGACCCTCTGTTTCGTGCAAACACTTAACCTCTGGACCACTGAGCCGCGATCCATTGGTGTTGATGTTTAACTTCAACCAACCGCGTCGGATGTGATTCAGTTGACCACTGAAGACAGTGGAGAATGGTCGCGCAGTATGGTGGATTAGTTGAAGTTGGAAGTTAAAACTGACGTGTCTCGGCTCCACAACCCTTTACTGATATTTCATTCTTTTAACAGACAGAGTGGAGCATAAACATATATATTCCTTTGAATGAAATCAAGAAAACAATATGGATTATTCCATAATGCCCCCTCAATGCTATGGTGCAACCGAGGGTGAGGAGAGTCCGTTCTCCCCCTTAAAATGCTCTCACATGGCCACGCGTACACAGCCACTGACGGAGAAGTCCTACTCACTGCCTTCTTGCGTTGGGGGTGTTGTTTAGAAAATCGAGAAAACGAAAAGCGAATATCCGGTGCTTTAACCGAGTTGATGGACACTGAAGGTCCATCTAGGCGTTAAAGAACCCTTATCCTGAACCGATGGTGCACATGGGCCTCAGGATCCTGAGAAAACAAATGGAGTATGAACCAATTGTCAATTGCCGTCTACCATGGGACTGCATCTCCTAACGTTGCTCCGCTGCCTTGTGGATTAGACCTCTAGGTCAGAGGCTACGGATGTGGCCCCCTGATCAATTGCAGTCCTAAACAACAATAGGAAGATACAAGCAAACAACACCATGTGAATTTAAACTTCACCCCGTTGCACAAGAAGGTGGCTATCAGGAATCCGTAACTAAGTGGATAATGCGATGGCGTTTGACGCTCACTGTACTGGGTTCGAGTCTCGGAGTGAATTTCAACTCTAGGATGCTGGTATATCAAGCTGACGAGTTCCAAATAAGACGAAATGAGCGTCCTGGATTCCACTGCTAGCCACTATCCGTCTTTGCTCATGATTGTAATTGGCTAAAAAATAAAGGTAAAACTAGGTAATTAGTTTAATCCATATTCGATGCCTTTCCTGATCTTATTTTTAAGTGTGTTGAAATATAGGTAGAATCAACTTACTTATACATCAGATAAATACAATGAACACCGGTAATTTTTATTTTCAATAAGTTATAAACATTCAATAAATAGGAAATCAGTCAACATGATGTACTCATTTGATGATATCAGATTTATATTCCAGTTACACATGGCACTAATTGTTAATCTGAAGGATTGTATTTCGACTTCGTACATGATAAAAAAATTCAGACTTCTGAAAAGTATAGAGCTTAAACTAAAAATCTATTTGATGTTTCCTGGTTTTTGATGTATCTTCAGTTGATGAAGTCTGTTATAATCTTGTCTTGAACATTATTTTCAATGTGTGTTGCGGACGGTATATCCCCAAAACTCATATTTGTAATTTTATCACTATCGATTAACTTATCGATTAAATGATTAAATAGCAGTCAATTGATGAACTCATTGATTAATGTCTAAAATTCCCCATGACAATATCGATTATATATATTTGTATATATACGTTTTAAATTGTGTTTGTGGGCTCGCTCGTTTTCTGGCTGTTTGCAGAATATATTTTCCATACCAAGCTTGGACTTCTCTTTCTAGGTAGCGGGGCTGGAACGCATCGATAGCTAGATTACTGGTCTTTGGTCACTGAGTCTTGTTCTCGTTCGCAGATTAAGTGAACTCGTGAAGCTTCAAACATAACAATGTGGGAAATTATATAGTATATCCTTTGATTTAGATTTTTCCACTATGTCGAGTTGAATGTTCGAGTTATTACGAAACAAATAACTATAAATCGTAATCATCTGATCTTGATTCTCCTTTCTTGTAGGTATAGAATTTTGAAGACGTTCCTAAAAATGTGGTCATATCGAAGCAAAGTATCAATTATAGAACGTCAAATGTATTTTTCTGCTTGTAATTTACATTCTATTTTAGTACGTCGTCGGTGCTTTTTCTTATGGAGAAATTATGCATTATATAAGAGAAAAAAACACAAACAAATAAAATTTGTTATTCGATTTTATAAAATAAATCAAATAAAAAAGTACTTTGTTGCTTGGATGAATTATCATTTTGTGGCTGTTGATCATCGCAGTAGTGTTCAATCCATGAGTGTAAGTTTTACGAACTATGGAAAATTAGCTGTTCTTTGAGCCTTATGATTGACAGGTTACTGTATTGTAGCCTTGCTAATAGTTTGCTAACTAAACTTCAGTTGTCATATTACTTCAAGCTATCAGATCTCTGATATCACTGCTTAGTGATCAATCACCATAAATATATCAGTCATACGCGTCATAGCGGGACCAATATTTAAAAAAAACTGAAAATTTGAGCTTTTAGTTAACTGCATCCAAACACCTAACATCTTGAGCATTATATTAAAACTTGCTAATATCTGGTGATGTGATCATAAGCCAATTCCAGGTGATTCGTATTCTACAGAAATGAATCCTTGGAGATTTAACTTTCAGTTTGAGTTATGCTCAAAGATTTTATACAAAACTAGTAGCATTCTGTTAGAATTGTTTAGATTATTACTATTTCTATTAGTTATTTAGTAAATTATACTTTAATTGTAAGAAGAACATTAATACTAAAAATAATAATCTCTTCATTTCAAGATGAAACATAATACATCATTAATCAAACAGTGTTTACTGAAATGGAAAGATTATTGTACTACCAAGCAATTATTATTGTTGAAATTATCTCATTTTAAAAAGTGTCAGAAAAATAAACTACTCAAGGAATATTTTCAATATTGGTTGAGTAATCTTCTCTCTAAACAGTCACAAGAAATAACAATCAGGAGTTTTAGAAAACATAAATTTATGGAAAGCATAAAAAGGGTAAGTCAGTGTTTAAAGTAAACTTCAATGCTTTTCTATCTTCAAAAGAAATTAATGGAGTTATAAAGATCTCATATTTATATGATAACGCAATGAACATTGAAAATCGAAGGAATATGTATGTAAATGGTTTAGCTTGCGCAAATATGGTATGATACTAAATGGAAATAGCCGCAAACCACTCAATGTGTACATTAACTGTCAGCTTTCACTTAACACTTTATACTTAATAACCAATCGTAAATTTCATTTTACGATGCTATATATTTACTCCATTATAAAGAACTCTTTTTCATGGTTTTACTTTGTATTCCATGTCAGATTCACATTTTGTGTGGAAACACCATTGCAAATGTCTCCAGTTCACGAAATGTGTACTTAAAATAGACATGTTCATGTTATTTAAAGCTTATAGTACATCTTGACGTAAAACCCTGAGCTATTATTTTCAAATCTTCATCTTGATATTTAAAATTGAACTGGATATTCACTTGGTATTGTTTTACTTGAATCTTCCCATTGATGTTTTAGGACTGAAATTAATCAGTCTTTTATTGGCATATGTGCATACTGTGCGTATGCCTTCGAGTCCCAGAGTGAACATCAACTTTGAGATGCAGGTACATCCGGCTGACGAGTCCCAAACAAGACGAAACGCGCGTCCTGGATTTCACTGCTAGCCACTATCCATCTTTGCTTATAAACTGGATATTGTTTAAATTTGTAATCACTCATCATAAAATTTATGCCTAATAATCATATAAATACTGAAATATTCATTACTTTATTATTATGCAGATACACTTGACATTCTTTAATTTCGGGTCAGTCAAATTTGCTAGTAGCTTTCATTTAGAAATACCAATACTAGCAGTCGTTTGACTTGTAAAGTTTTCCTATCCTTGTGAATTGTTCAACCAACGGCAATTTTGAAATGATATCGAAATTACTAAAATTTTCGGTGTGTTTGTTCACGTAAAAATCTTTTTTTCCCTTTACCTAACATTCTTAAATTTATATAATTATCAAAGTTTCTTCAGTTGTATTTTCAAGCAATCTTTACTAATAGCTCGTAAGAACTATACGATTGTTTTTCACTTATTAATAATAAGTTAGCCATTTTTACTTACTTTCAGCTAGAAGATATTTGTTGAATGATGAGGATGACCTAAGTGAATATGTTCACCTTGATGATGTCCTATTACAATAGGTGTTCTGTAATTACTTGATAGTTGGGAAATATTCAGGTGTCATCAAAAATAATGATTAGTTATCATTTTCTAGAAAATAAATTCAATGAAATACTTTGGATTTACGTACCAAATATGATATAACGGAAACTAATAGGAATTTGTTCTTGCTCTGAGACACTAAATACTTTTTACAACAAGATTTTACAACTTGTAGATTCGAAACACTAGAAATAGATCACTCTACTTGACCACATAAACTCAGATACGCAAGTCTGATCAAATATTAAGAACCAGATTAGATTAAACGGTAGCTCATTAATATAAATCACAATGAATCAACACAGTGAAAATCCGAGTAGAAACTAACAGTTAAGGAATTTACGACATTTTATAGTCCTATATATTTAATGTAACTAGGATGTGCTTATCTTTCTTCATTAGCTAATTATGTCTTTCACCAGCACATCCCAATTTAAACATAATGTATCTTAGTTCATGTTCGTACTTAACCTATCTTACTCATCGTATGAATAAACAATGAACAGCAAATCCGATGAATTTCTTTATAGTCTTCTTAAATTTTGTTCTGTACACCATCATCCTTATTTGAATGGACCAATGATCGCCAATCCAAGATGGCTAGTATATTCCAGATGTTCATTTATATACATACAGGACTAGACCACGGAGCAGACCAAATGAGTAATACTATTAACTCGGAACAACAACATTAATGGTAAGAAAAATGAAATTCTGGGTACACAAATAATCTGTTCTAGTTCATGAGTTGAAAATGCTATATCAACAATTTACGATTCTAATAAATGCTTGAGACTAGGGTAATACGAAAATAATAGAACTAAACTACTTAATTGACATGCAGTCAATATATATAAATAAAATCGTGGAAAAATAGCTTCGAAAGTTTCTACCTCATAGTTAAATTGTCTCTTACAACAATAGTAGCCTTATGAATTATACTTTGAAAATAGGATTGGTTAAAGCTGTTATTAAATTTAATTGCAATCAATGATACTTGGATTTCAGGTACATCCAGAAAACGAGTCCCGAGTGAAATGAAATGTGCCACCGTGTATCTCACATTTCTAGTCACTATCGAAAATATAAACAACACTACCTTACTACCGTAGATTTCTGCATAGAATTTTAGGTTTTTATTGATAAAAGGTTATCATTTAGTAGAATTAAACTTTGAGAAATGTAAATTATACTTTATGTTACTGTTTAACATCGGGCTATTTATGCAAAAACAATATAGATTCAATTATTTAGATAAATCAATGTTTGATTTCTATGATACTTTTTGTTTAATAATCGAGTCTTAGAAATTTCGGCTATCAATTTTAAGCTACTACATTGATATGTATAAGTGATTCGACTTAGCTGCCAAAATACCAGCTCAAGAGAATGATTTTTCTAGATGTTAGATGAATCTAACCGTTCTAACACTGTTTCATTGATTGATGTTTGTGTTCGATTATATGCAAAGATACATTTGCCGTATGTTGAATAACCTCATTTTTTCCACAGTTGTTTCTTGCATGGTTACAATGGACGTCTAGTCGTCGAGAGTACCTTTTGAAAATGCAGCTTACTTTTAAAATAAGTTTAGAGAATATGCGAATTGTTACTATACGAATTTGGTGGAGACACTGGAGATCTGTGTATAACTATTGTTCAAACGCTAAACTTGCATGCAGACTTTATGATAAGCATATACTTGTTCAGTGTCTCAATTGCTGGTCTGCTTTTATTACTATCAAGAAACATAAAATCAAATTATTTAAAACAGCTAATGACTTTCGAATTCGAACAATTCAGGTAAGTTAAATCACTTTTTAACGAATTGAGGTATCATTAAACAAATAATATTTGAGCTATCTATTTCTTAAATTTATCATGGAAGATAACTATTATACGTCAGTGTAATTGATTCAGTCAGCCATAAGCGACATAGAACTTGGTATGTATGCCCATCTATTGAAGTTGCCACATATCAGCTTAACGAGACTCAATAGTAGTAAATTAGTAACAGTATGAGTAGTAGTAGGATAGACTGGGCGTGGAAAGTTATGATTCAAGGAGAAAATATGGGTTTGTGAAATACTACTCAAAAAGACTGATTGCCTTTATCTTTTTGTTGATTTCTTATTTTTGTATATTCTTCGACCTGATCAATAACCTGTTATAAGAACAAGTAGTTAGCAGGATAAAGGTTGCTTAGGTACTTGGTCTCTATTATATATGGAGGTTTGGTAGCTCAAATGTCATTTGCTTTACAAACTGACATCATTTGGAGAAACGTTTAAATAAAATGGATAACCACACTTTAAGACGAAACAGTTGTTCAATGTTCCCTGGTATAAACTCGGGAACCTCTTCAGAAGTTTAAATATTTGCATGGTATACTATTACTACTACTAGAAAGGAAGGACAAAGTGAGTTGGAGAATGCTGGTCAGCGGCCTGTGTTGCATTGGAAGTAACAGGCGTAAGTAAGTAAGTATACTACTGAAAGCTAATAACTTTGAATTACTTCTAACTTTTCATCTCTTATTATCATTGTTTGATGCATCAAAACCATCTTTGTTATTTTCAGAAGCACTTCTTAAGCCAATGGCATTTGAAACTAATTGAAAATAGTAAATTTCAAGCTTTGAAATCCATAGCTCTTGTGCGATGGTCTTTATGCTTACAAGCAAAAGTATGGAAGGCTTGGCATTTATGGATTGGAAAACAAAAGTATAAAAGAAATAGACGAAAAACCGCTACCCAACGGTTTTATGAGCACAAAACTGTCGACGCTCTAAGACTATGGATTTCTGTGGCTTTGAATAAACGTCATGAAAGGCATATGAAGTACTGTTCAAAATTTTGGGTATGTTTTTAAAAGTTTCGCTTATTTAATTTTTATTCTAATTTACATCATTGGAATGTATTCACGTTAGACTGAGCTCAATCTTTTCAATGGAATTGTAATTAATACGATTACTAAATAATTCTCAATGGTATAATACTTCCTAACTTGGTTTTTCGTGGGTGCTTCCCCTTCATATTAGCACTCGGTCCTAAACTAGACGCTTCGAAATTTCCGAAAGTATACATATGGTTAGTGTAGTGAGTAGTTAGTTACTTATTTCCGAATGAAAAATCACGATCTTTTGGATAACAGAAAGAGAAGTTTAAGATCTGCATGAAACGTGGCGTGTTCATTTCGTATTAGCCTAATGGTTAGATACCGCATTATTTCATCTCATTCTAACCTCATTTTATTGTTGTCTACACAGTTGTATGGATAAATACGCTTCAATTTACCTTTTTTCTTTCATCTCTTTGTTCTCTCTAACCTTTTAAACCAACAATCGACACTCTTAATTTATGTCTTTGATATTGTAATTATTTCTTCTTGTGGTCTTTCATAAATAGATCGTGTAGATTTACATGTATTGTCAATTATTTGCATTTATCCATCTTTATGAACTCCTTACTTACGCCTGTTACTCCTCGTGCAGAAGCATTGGCCGCTTATCAGCATTCTTCAACGAACTCCTTCTTGAACAATCTTTTTCAGTTACTACTCATACTTTAACTGTCTGCTTTCGAATCCTGACTCAGTGTGTCCTTGGTCTTCCTCTTTTACGTTTCCCTTCAGCATTTCAATTTAACGCTTATCCCGTGATGCAGTTTGATGATTTCTGCAATGAATTTCCTATCTACTTCCAGCGTCTTCTCTGAATTTCCTTTTCAGCTAAAAATGGTTTGTTCTCTCACAGTAGGATGTTGCTGATAGGATCCTGTCAAGGGACATTGAGTATCTTGCGTAAACAACTGTTGATAAATACTTGTACCTTTTTGATGATGGTTGTGGTGGTTCTCCAAGTTTCACCTCGATACATTAGAACTGTCTTGACGTTCGCATTGACGATCCTGAATTTGATATTTGCTTGCAGGTAGTTGTTCTGAGTTCCATATGTTCTTCAACTGTATGAATTAGGCCCTTGCTTTTCCGATCCCAGCTTTACATTTGCATCAGATCCTCCTTGTTCATTGGTGGTGCTGTCCAGGTACGTGGAACGTTCCTCCTCTTTCAGAGTTTCTCCATCAAGCATGACTGGGTTGGTGTTCTTCGTGTTGTATTTGAGGATGTTACTTTAGCCCTTGTGTATGTTGAGGCCTCCTGCTTCAGAGACTTTTTCTACACTGGTTATCTTGACCTGTATTTGTTGGTGTATATGGGATAGAAGAGCTAGGTCACCTGTGAAGTCCAAATCGTCTAGCTGCATCCAACTTGTCCATTATATTCCGTGATTCCCGTCAGATGTAGGGGCCTTCATAATCCAGTCAACCACCAGGAGAAAGAGAAAGGAAGAGAGTAGGCAGCCTTGTCTTTCTCTGGTCCTCACTTGGAATGCGCCTATCAGCTGCCTTCTATGCACCACTTTGCAGTGTAGTCAGTCGTATGATTCCGTATGATGTTGACGAATTTCTGAGCTACTCCATAGTGTCGAAGAAGTTTCCATAATGTTCTCTTCTCCACACTGTCAAATGCTTTCTCATAATCAAGGAAGTTGATCTATAGTGACGATTTCCATTCAATGGGTTGTTCAACGGTGATCCGTAGTGTCGTGATTTGGTCTGTTCACTACTAGTCTGTTGATCTCGAAGCTGGGATTTTGTTGAAACCTTTATCCGGTTCAGCAACACTTTGTTGAGAACTTTTCGTAGCACTAACGATAGTGTGATGCCCCTGTAGTTCTCACACTTGCTGCCATCCTTCTTTGGTATCTGTTCGAGGTCTTTTATCTGGAGATCTGTATATGCTGACTCGATGTCCGATGGGTTCAGTGAGTCTGGTCTATTCAAGAGTTCTTCAAAGTGTTCTACCCACCTGTTATTCTCTTCTTAAATCTCATTGATTGGTTCGCCTTCTTTGTCCTTGACGGGTCTCTGCTTTACTATATTTCTCTTCTAGTTTCTTCGTTGTATCATAGTTGTTTCAGATTTCCTTCTTTTGCATTTTTTTCCGACGCTGTTGCTAGTTCTTCCACGTATTTCTACTTGTCGACTTTAATGCTCCTCTCCACTTGCTTCTTTGATCCCTTTTTCAGTTGTCCTCTATCGTAATTTCTTCTTTGAGTAGAACTTGTAAAGCTTGGAACCTGTTGTTGAGAGTTATCTTGAATCGGTTGAGTTTGTCAGTGCGTCAAAGGAAAACTGTAGTGAACCTTTGTAAGGCTGTTTGTTCAGTCATCCAATGCTTCTTTATCTTCAGTTTCATCTTGACAACCACCAGGTAGATGGTAATCTGAAGCTATATTGGTTGCTCTCCTAATTCTCACGTCTGCCATTGATCTTGTCAATTTTTTACTGATGCGAATATGATCGATTTGGTTCTCTTTGCTGTGATTCTATGAGATCCATGTAGCTTTATATGGGGATATCATGCTGTCCATAGACAAATTGGTGAATGTACATAGATTTGCAAATCTGTCACCGTTCTCGTTTCTTTCTCTCAGTCAGTCGCTGTCATTCCATGATATCTTCATATCCGTTGTTGTTCGTTCCGACTTTGGTGTTTAAATCTCCCATCAGGATGGTGAGGTCCTTTCTTAGGCACTTCTCTATGATCGCTGCAACCCCTCATATAACTGATCTTTATTGTTGTCGTTGCTATCATTGGTGGGTGCATAACATTGGATAACATCCGTTGTGATTTCCTCCTTTGTTTTGAATGATGTCTTGATGATGCTGGATCCATTAGTTTCCCATCCTATAAGTGCTTTTCATGCTTCTTTGAACAGTATCAGAGCAACTCGCTGAGTGTGCGGAGCATTTTCTTTTTCGTGACCGGAGTACAGCAGCATTTGTCTTGTATCTATCCTTTTTGTCCAACATCGTTCCAATGGGTTTCGCTTTTTCCGAATACTGCCGAATTGTACCTCCTCATTTTCGTAGCTATTTGGCTGGTGTTCCCGGTCTCTCAAATCGTCCCAACATTCATTGTACCTATGTCAATTATTACTGTGATTGTTAGAAGTGGCATCGACCTCGTAACTTCCGAAGAATATTGGCTTTCACCAGAAATCTTCATTATTCTTCCGAAAGAAGATCCTTCAAATTGTAGGGTGGAGTTTAGATGGTTTTATTTATTTTATTCTGGTTAGCGCTTATTTAGCTATGTTGTGTTCTACAGCATGAGGTTGCCAACCCTATGCCTAACCCTCCTCCTTTATGTTTGGAGTAACCCTAGTAGGGCTACATCCTGTGTTGAACTCCTTCGTACCATATTAAAAGTTCACTCAAAAAACCAGATACGGTTAGATCAAAAAATATTATTTGATTATTAGAATATTTTATCTAACTGGTTTTACATATCATTTGTAATTTTTTTTATTTCAGAACAATGACATTCGTGTTTTTAAATTAGTACTTAATACAGCAACACGTTGGTACTGGTGGACGTTTTCTAGAGGAATTAGTCAAAATTCAAGTGAACTTAATATGAATAGTATTTGGGCTGATATTTCTGAATTGACTAATGAAAATCGCATATCCAGACTTTCAGAATGTGGCAATAATTTCAGAACAATACGAAATCAAGAACTAACACCTGCACGTTATCCCGACTTCATTCTCCCTGAACTACATTCACTTGGGCTTACCAATGCTGTAAGTTGAAACGTTCTGTACACTACCAGTTTAATACATCTTCTAAATGTTAACTATTATGATGTTTTAGATAGAATTCGAACAAACATCAGCTCATGTAGCTCCATTAAATGAAACTTTTCACCATGAGACGTCCAATTGTCCAGATATTCATTCCTGTGGTTATCCATGTAAGTAATAGAATACACGTTAGTTTACTATTTCCGTATTTTATCGTTTAACAATCACTGTGTATACACGAAGGTTTGTTGAATGTAAATAATCGCTTGGGCGAATTGATCTTTTGAGACTTCCTCAAACAGTAATTAAAAGTATCCGTTTGATATTTCTCTTTGTTGACTACTAACTTACGACGTTAAGCTTAAAAGGAATCAACAACAGCACTGAACGGTTCTCTTGTCATTACCAAACATGTTTCCTCGATAATTTATTGCAGCAAAGTTTACCCCCAGAAAATTTGCTCCATTCCAAGTCAAATGAAGTGTCCCTCAACTAATCATATACGGTTTCCTAAATGCGTGACTGAAATCTCGTCAAAATAATAAAATAAATTGAAAACCAAATTTTAGAACTTAAGAGAATGACTTGATTTACAGATCTATTTTTTATCATACCTTCATTTGTAAATTATTCTCATCACCCTGACTTTTTTTGCAAGTTGGCTAAAATTCTTCATCGTTTTTTTACGAATGATCTTACTACGCAGTAGTGCCATCAAGTACTCTGTAAAAGGAAAGTAGTTCCATTTTTTTGCATTTTCTAATGTTTATCTAAGATTTTTCAGCGTCCTCAAGTTTCCAGGTTATTTTTGTTGAGTATTTTTAGTGTACCTAATTTATATATAACATACTATTACGAACTGTAAATATTTATTGCGAAAAGTTTATTCCCCGTTACTCTTTGATTGCATATCAATAATAATAAAAGTGATAACGCTCTCATATGTCTATTTATTTTAATTCTACAACATATTCATCTGTTAACAGTTACTGACTTATGTGAATTATCTAGTACACTAGTTTATGGATAAAATAGAATTATCATGTATTTTGCTAAACAAATAATTTAAGTGGTTTAAATGTAGCAAAAATAATCATTTGATTAAAGGGAACCACTGATATTTAACATTTACAAGTTAAATATTTTAGTTTCTACTGTAATAATCTTAAGTCATGTAACTTCTCAAATGGGAGTTCTATTTTCATTTATACAAAGTATTGTATAATGATTATTCTAGATGATACTCTATATTTATTTCTAATCTTCTACTCAATCTTTTAGTTAATTATAAGATATTTTAATCTATGAAATCACAGTTATTTTATTCACTTACCATAATATTTTTATAAATGATATTCATATAACAAATTCATAGATTATGTTTGATCCTAAGTTATATCATTAATTGTAGTCACAATATTAGGATTTCAGCTATTAAATCATCAATCAACAAATTTATATGTATATATCTTTTCTATTTATTCATTATTTATCATTATCAAGGTTTGATTTGATAATTTCGAATAAATTGAGCATTGGGTAGATTGGCATAAATAAATAATATATTTGTAATTTTCTGACGTTTCGTGGCTTAGTGTAAGCCACTTCTTCAGCGAATAAATAGCCAAATTAAACTTGGATTACTTGTAATTTGGTTATTTATTCTCTGAAGAAGTGACTTACACTAAGCTACGAAACGTCAGAAAATCTAATTTTCTACTCATTGGGATATTGCAAATATATTATTTATTTATATTTATTCATTAATTCAACTATTATATCAAAAATATCTGTAGAAAAACATAAATCTAACAATTTAGCTAACTCTCGAATTGTTACTTTTACATAACTTTACTTAGATTATGTTTATTTAACAGAGTTAGTTTTTAGTAACGTTTAGTTTTATCATGCAAATAAATTGATTTGAATGAAAGTTTAGAGATTTCCTTAAGTTATTCTCTTCTTATTGATAGTAATTGATAAACTAAACAATAATCTCACCAAATTCATCAATTGAATTCAATTCTCCTGATGTTCAGCATTTATTGTTCCAGTTTCTGATATAATCAAAATGAATTGTTAACAGATATATAGTATTATTATGCTACTGTGGTGCATTTTTCTATTCTAATGGTTGTGTATTGAACTGTTTTCTTTTTTTATAAAGAAAAACACTGATTTATTTAAAATTCACCTTCCTCTACTCTAATTGTCTAAGTTTGGGTAGACAGGTATATGGATTTGATGTAACTTATTGTATGCTATAAGTTATTAGTATTACTGGCTGGAAGTGCCAGTAGATCTGTTATTTATGGTAACCGGCTTTAATTTAAGCTTTAATATCCACTTCTTGTCAAGTTAATCAGATGATACATCTAAAGTTAAATGGTATAAATTGTAATGCTCAATCTTTACCAGGTTTTGGTCTAGCCTGAAGGTACTTTGTTGGGGGAGTGTAAGGAACAGTAATTGAAAGAATCTGGAAGAGAAAGGAACAAGAGAAAATGTGGACAGTTAACTCAGTGAGCACATAGAGTGCACTTACATCTTAAGGTTCAAATGGTAATAAAAGTAGTCAATAACAATTAGAAATAACACAAGGCTATTAGACAATTGGAACTATAATTTGATTGCATAATGCTTCGAGTATTTTGTAGTGGATTATTTTTGAGATAATTCCTAAGGCTTTGTATATCACTCGTCCTGATAACCGTTACTAGATATCTCCCAACGGTTTATAAATTTAAGAGGAAAATACAAAGTTTCAACTACAGTTTGTTACTGTACAACGCAGATTAACAAGCCGCAAGCGCAAAAAGTGAATTCGAGCAGAAACGTCAGTGCGAGAGACCAAGCAAGCAAGTGAACACACAGGCGAGTTAAGAGTCGAATCCAGTAGTAAGATTCAAGCATATATATAAGCAACTAACATTCAAGCTAGAGAAAGGGATTTATGCGTAAGCTGTCACATGTAATCAAGCAAACATGTTCAGACAGACGTGATAATGATAATATTACAAAGACAGAAAAATTGTTACTGTTCTAATGACACTTACCGTTAAATAAGTTAATTGAAGGGCTTGGCAAAGTTGAACGTAAACAGCCTTATATGTAGATGAGCAGCTATATTCTCTCCCCCTGCAAACAATGATATAAATAGATGACTGTGGTCGCAGAAAAATGTTAAACTGGATTGAATAACTAGGATACACAGAAAATAATGAATTACTTAAAATTAAGATAAAGCGACTCTGTAAGCTAGTATTTGTTACGTATGTCTGAGTTTCCGTAGTTCACTGAGTCCAGGTAAAGTGATCAATATCAAAAGGATTTGGTGGTGTTTTTATAAGATTATATATATATAAGCACAAAGATATATAAAATGTGTGGAATTTCATAATACATAGTTTAAACTTGATGATACGCGCGTACAAAACAAAGAGGAAGAAGATAATTCATATTCAAAACAGTGAGAGAAATTATTAATTCATAATCGTGGCTATATACTGTTGTAGCCACTCAACTTTTCGACCATATCTCGTCATTATTGGGATCTTTTCTCTCTTTTTATTTTCGTCGTTAATGATTGAAACACATATTTTAGTGATGTGACGGTTTTCCCGGGACCTGTATTTGTTGATGAGTCGTCAATTTCATGAATGCTGGTTTAGCTCAGTCGATGCTGATTATGTCCGTTTTCTGAGCTTTTTTCTACAGTAACCGTTTTGTCAGTCCTTGAAACCACTTTAAACGGACCATCATAATTCACCTCAAAGGAGGCTGTATATCATCCCTTCTAATGGATACATGAATGATAATATCTAGTTGCTTTGGTATATACTCATCGTTTCTGTGGTCTGAGAAGCTTTATTTTTGAATCGTTCATGTGCTTCTTTAGACAATGTTTGGCTACATCAGTCGGAACACTTTTACCTGAAGCGAAAACTTCTCCGGGTAAACCTAGAGTAGTTCCAACCAACTCTGCTGGACAGTCTTACAAAATGTGTTCAATTGTTTGTTTAGAACTTTATTCCATTATTGCTCACTTGAAGATTTGTCTTTGTTACTTCTAACTTTCGCATTTTTATCTTAGTTCTCAACACACCAGATGTTCATGAAATTAATTTATATCTAAACTCTTTGTCGGAGCGGGTATCTCACTACAGAATGATAAAGTCTAAATATAAGTAAGTAGTATAATTTTCACAAACATTTCCAGACTGATTTATCAACGCCTTTATTTAGAGGATCAGATGGAGAATAAAGCTAATTACAATAAAGAGGTGAGTTGATTTTAAGTAATACATTAGTTACAGAGATCTGGTGATGTATCTTTCAAGTATCACCTGAAGACGGAGAAAGATACATGTAACTTCCTCATCAAAGAACTACGGTCTTTCTTTGTCCAGTTATCTAAGTCCACATAATATAAAATAGTTGTTTATTAGTGGATTTTTAACTTTAATTCAGTATCAATCGCTTTTTTGTACTGTTTCACTGGAATTTGTTGTTAATGACGCTTTCGTGTCTTTCAAGTCTAATAATGATGTAAATCTTGGTTGGTAGTTATTTTCACTTTGGTATGTTAATAAAATATTTGATGATGTGTCTTGATGCTTTTTTGCTGAAGCGCGCACAGACCTTTATGTGCGTAATTATGACAGACTTATTTTGTAACTAGTTTTTGCTACTATCTTCATTCTTTTCACTAACTCTCATAATTTGTTCGTTTACTATGAGTGACTGCAAAATAGTTGTCTAAAAATGCATGACATTATATTTCCATTTTCGTTTTGAATTCTCTAATATCATGACACTGATTACATCTTACAAAAACAGTGTTGCACGTATATGTCTCTTGTTCTCCATTACGTGTTGTTATGATAACAGAACTCTAATGTATTTACTGTCTTCGTTTACAGCCCACAGTGATGTTATAGTATTCTAATTGTCGTATGAATTAGGAATTCCAGGATTAACGCAATTGAATTAAGAAGACATATGCACCAACGAATTTATTGTATTTAGAATTCGAAATCAGGCATTCAACCAGTACAAAGGTATCATTGCTTCATTCAAACACCACAGATGTTCTCATTTTATCCTTCATGTGGATACACATTTTGAATTATAACAATTGTGATCGGAATTAATAACTACTTATAATTGTGGATTATTAAACTAAAAGAAAGTGAAACACACCAATTCCTGACAATTTAAGTAACTCCCAGTATATTTTTCTTGTGTATGTAGATTGTATTTAATATTATTATTAATAATGACTTTATTCAATATTTTATCTTGATACACATTATTGAATTCTCAGAACGAGGTATTTCAAAAAGTTTCTTTTACAAAAACAAAAATGACAAGGGAAGAGCAGAAGGTGAAAAACATTTGAATTTGTAGAAGTTTTAGATTAGACACATGTTTAAGAATACAGGTCATTGACTAGGTTAACTCAAACAACCTGTTCATCACATAGTATGTTTGCTAGATAAGGTAATATAGAACCTTTTACGTCAGCTTGCGTGCATGGATTCTAATGCACTGAAGTCTTGTTCTACCAGAAGCTATAAAAGATGAAAGTCATGGATGAAGAGGACGGTCACTATCTAATAATGTAACACCCATCAGGAGTTTGTAAGACTTAAGTTGTCTATCCGCAACCATATTAATAATGGCCTCAAAAGATTCACCACACACCCTGCTAACTGTCTTCAGCAGTTTTAGAAATATAGAAAAGAATTGACAAACTGTAAGATTAAATGTTGAATAATCCTGAAATCATGCAGCCTCTTTATGTAGTCGGTAAGGCGGAAAACGTACTTCGATAACAGTAAAACATGAAAAGACCAAGAAATCAGAGGAAAGGTAACACCAAGATAAGTAACCCACGACACTGTGTTTATCAAAGAATCTCCAATGGTTCAAGGATTATGGGACACCATCATTGTGTTTAGGTGCTGTTCATGTCTCGGGATAAAGTTAACAGTTTGACATTTAGACGAATTAAGTATGGGACCATTAACAGCAGACCACTATTTGTTACGAGACAAAAACTCATCTATTTCAAGGAGATGTAAAGAGGTAGAAACTGGCATACATACAATGAGATCGTCCGCACATTTAATAAATGTGTTTTCTGTGGAAGATCATTCAGAAAAAAAGAAAACAATAGGCAAAGGAACAGCTCCTTGTGACACTTTCATGAGACAGTAAAGACATTGAACACTCTCTTACGAACAGTGTGCTGTTCTCTTCCAGAGAGGTAGGAACATAGTCAGTTGGTTATCGAGCTGTCAGCGTTGTTACCTAAAAGTTGTCTTGGTATAGAATCGAAAGCAAAAGTATAGTCCAGAAAAGCGCGTCGAATACTCTTCTTACCCTTTTCCAAGCTGAACACTATATTATGATGCAGAGCGATAGCAGCATCTAAGGTGCTTCTTTTGCATTTGTAAGCAAACTGATACGGATTAATGTGCTCTTTAATTGTAGGTTGAAGTGTAAGTATCAATAATTTTTCCATTGTTTTGGGGAAAGGTGAAGTTATTGCTATGGGTATAAATTTCACATTTTTATTGTCAGATACCTTCTTACGTATAAGGATTATTTTTACCTTCCTCCACATTTTCGGTATGAGATTGGTTAAGAACAATCTGTTAAAGGTACTCATTAATGAATAACACAGAACATTAGCACACTGTAGCGGCAAATAAATCCCCAAAATGAATAGCTCTAAGTTTCCGATATTAGGTGCTGACCAAATGTTTTAGTGGACTCATCTAGCTGAAGGCGCTCGGCCAGGCATCCGCACCAGATCACGTGTGGTAACGCTGTGCTCAACATCTACCGCAATCGCTAGCCAGATTAGATCAGAGAATTCCGATATATTGGTAATCGCCAAATACACTCTTCCGATCTCCTCGACTCTGTCTTTTGATTTCTCTGGGTGGGAACGAATTATATTAGGTGTTACTGGTAGAAGCGTTGTCAAACACTGAATACCTGTGTCATCATCATTAGTGAGACCAACGTGATCTGGTACACCGAATTGCAACTGTAAGACTGTTCCTTTTTGGGATTTTTATATATCATTGCCTTATTTTTTATTTTTTAAACATTGATTTTTTTCGTGTTTTTTCTTCGATATATATTTTTTCCCGTCATTCATTATCGTACTTCATATTTCACCATGACTGAACAGACACCCAAAGTACTCAAGCTTAAGACTTTGTCCGCACCTTCGTTTCAACTAATGCCTTTCTGGCCCGATAATATCGAAGCCTGGTTCTGCTACGCAAAAGCCGACTTTTCCGAGCACGGCGTGATCAACACATGTGCACAATTCCTCGCAGTAGTCAAGGCACTACCGCGCGAATTCAACAGGTACGTAACACTCAGTATGTTTACTAGTGATGTTTCTGAACCTTACGAAACCTTAAAACGTTCGATTCTTAAGCGAGGAGACCTAACTGATCGACAAAGGTTAGATCAACTCTTCAATAACATCGGCCTGAAACACGGTTCTGCGACGGACATGTTGCAACGGATGAGAGAAGTTGTAGGTCCAAAAACTTTCGACGAAGGTCTATTCAAACAACTTTTATTGTCTAAACTTCCTCAACAGGTGCAAACTTTGCTTGTCTCGCTTCAGGACAACACATTAGACGAACTGGCTGCATCTGCCGGTCGTATTTTAGAAATTACGAAATCTACTATCGAAGTATTTTCTGTAAAAGAAAATCCTCACACGACTCAGAATGATATAACCGAGTTATGTCATACACTTACGCGTTATCTCAATCTTCGTACCGACCGTAAGAGATCGCACACTCCACGTAGAAGCACTTCACGTAAGCGATCTGTCTCTAGACCACGAGAAACGGGTAACGCTGACTGGTGCTGGTATCATAACCAGTCTTCCAGAAATTGCAGAAAACCCTGCAATTTTCCCAACACGAAACCGACTGACTCGTAAAACAACTCGGGAAACTTCCAAGCCGGCACGCGTTAACGGCAACCGTAGCCGGCGAACAAAGCCGTTTGTTATTCGTCACAGATGTGACAACGAGAGTTCGCTACACCGTCGACACTGGCGTAGAAGTTAGCGTTCTTCCAGCGAATCCCAACGACCGGCTTCACGATCGGCTATAAACTTACAGGCGGCAAACGGAAAGGGTACGTTTACTTGAACGTGGGTTTACGCAAACCCATTCACTGGAGTTTCGTTGCTGCAGACGTTTCTATGCCAATCGCTGGTATGAACCTTCTACAACATCATAATCTACTCATCAATGCGCGCAAACGGAGGCTAGTAGACGGAAACATTAAATTAACCGCTTGCGTAACTTCTTTTTCTGGTTGCAGATTATCCCCAGTCACAATTAAGCATACAATAGACCCACTTTATCAACCACTACTCGATAAGTATCCTGGGATTCATCAGGCGCAACCAAAACTACCGTGTGTAACCAGCAACGTTACACATCACATCACGACTACAGGACCACCTGTATTCTCTAAAGCACGACGACTAGCTCCCGAAATGCTAAGGTTAGCGAAAAACGAGTTCGATCACATGATAGACTTAGGAATCATACGACGGTCAAATAGCCCATATGCATCTCCGTTGCACATGGTCCCTGAAAAGGACAGCAACGATTGGCGTCCAACAGGCGACTATCGGCGATTGAATGCCGAAACCATTCCTGATCGTTACCCGTTGCCCCACATTCACGATTCGACAACCACCTTGAAAGGTACAACTGTCTTTTCGAAAATCGACTTGATTAAAGCGTATAACCAAATCCCTATGGCTACTGACGACATACCGAAAACAGCTATCATAACTCCCTTCGGACTCTATGAATTTTTGCGAATGCCTTTCGGTCTAAGGAACGCTGCTCAAACATTCCAAAGATTCATAGACGACGTTTTCCGAGGTCTCAACTTCTTACACGCGTATGTTGACGTCTGCCTAATCGCAAGTCCGGACAGAGAACCAAATCTCAAGCATCTGGATCTTGTTTTCGAACGACTACAGAAACATGGCATTGCTGTAAACGTTCAGAAATGCCAAATCGGAGTTGACTCATGAGACTTCCTAGGACACACTATAGATGCTCAAGGCATTCGACCCCTTAGGATCAAAGTAACAGCCATTCTGGATTATCCAGGACCGACG